GACGTTGCCGCTGCTCGCACCGCGCAGGCTTCAGCACCCACGCGCGTCGTGGCTCGCCCCTGCACTCGCCCCGCACCAGCAGCTCGACGCTGGGATTGCCGCCCGCCATCAGGCGGACCGCAAGAGTCTAAAGAAGTCAAAACAGCCGTTTGCTAATTACTTTCGCACAGAGTACCACACATCGCCCACCTACAGGCGTTCGGCTATGCGAACGGACGGCCACATGTCGTCACACGACGCAGTGAAACTCATGACGGATCCGCGGCGCAGTTGGGCGCCGTTCTGGGGGCGCGCCACTGGTGGAGTGCGAACACATAGAAAGCGGCAGGACGTGCTGGAGCCACAGGTACCACAGTTTGGTGACGATAGTCTTGACCGGACGATCGAGCGCCTGCTGGAGATTCGATTTCAATGGGACCGCGAGGACGACATTTTGGCGTCAAGTCTTGTGCCACCGAGCCTGCGTGCCACGACGGAGCACTGTCTCCAGTTTGCGTCTCATACAAGCTCACATTTGTCTGGGAAGCAGCAGAACCAACAAGTGGAGGGAGGCTATGTGGAGGTAGATGGGGAAAAGATTCCACTCTCTGTCTTTCGCACGCGCGGTCGACGGAAGGGGACGCATCTGCGGAAGGGGAACTTGGGTTTTAGCGGTGTTGACACCGTCCCCGCGATTGTGCTTGACGCAACACGCGGACCGCTCGTCTCATCGCCGACGGAAGCGACGCTGACGCTGCGGTGGAAAGCAACGAACCGAGAGGCCACAAGTGTGAGTGAGATGCTGCGACTTCAGCAAAGCGTCGGCCGGGTGGCGGTGATGGGACTCCCCACGCGCTCACTGCTGCTGCTGCTGAAGGCACAGGCAACACTGGAGGTGGATGATCCGGCGCTCGCCGTCGCCCTCGCCATTGCGGCTGCGGAGCATTACCACGAGTACACCTACACCGAGTGCCTGGAGCTGCTGCGCTGCCTGCGACGTATCGCCCACGTCAGAGGACTTGTGCGCCTACCAGACGCATCCAACGGCGCAGTTGCCCTTTACCGCGACAGCGCGTGGTGCCAGTCATTCTTCACCGACTACATCCGCGACGCTGCGCCTTTTCTAACGGACAAGGTGTGGTCACGCCTTCCCGAGCACGTGCAGCGGCTCGCACGGCGAAAGCTGTTTCTTGACCTCACCGATTTGCTGTCGCTCGCAGTGGAGCTGCACGGCGGGCGGCTGCCACACAACCTGCCGAACGCCGCCAGCTCAGCTGCGTATGCGTCCAAGTACCTCTTCCTGCGCTACACGCTGTTGGTCGACGAGGCCTTGATGAAAGAGTACGCGACTGAACTCGCAGAGGCGGCAGGCCCTGTTGCCCCGTTTCAGTTGATGGAGGCGCATGCAACGGAGACTGTAAGAGGGGGAAAGGAGGATGCGAAGAAATGCGGTT